ACTGTCTTGATATACTCGAATTGCACAATCAACGAACAAATATATTCCTTTGACTATTAAATATAATATTTAGTGACGGAACGAACAAGTCGTGCATCTGATAGCCATAACAGTTGCAGTGCCACCCAAAGCTGACCCATGGCATGTCCAAGTTGCATTTGTGGTTTTGGGAATTCTCTAGGGTCCAAATTTAACTTGTTACCCTCTTGGAAGCGCAACGAGAGAAACTGTCTTGATATACTCGAATTGCACAATCAACGAACGAATATATATATTTTTTTTATAATGTCAAGTGACAGGACGAACAAGTCGTGCGCCTAATGGTAAGCTCGTGTAGCTGTCCATGACAGTTGCAGTACCACTCAGATCTTTAAATCGCAGATCTGGGGGGCACTGCCACTGCGCCCGTCGCCCTGAGACATAAATTGACAAGTCCCATGTGCCTGTAATTTCACCAGCACCTTTACCTTCGAAACCGGAACACAGTAACGCTGACATTACTGCTTGGCGGTAGAAATAAATAAGGTGGCAGTACTTCACTGCACAGGCGTAGACCCCCTGTTTCCATTTCCAAAGATACTTTTGACATCTGTCCGTTTCTGCTTCCGTTAAGATACTTCCGTTGGGCCACTAGTAGGTACGTACTACCACAGGGATTTGAACCGTTGAACTCTCAACTGAGAAGCCAACTTTTTATTGGGTCGTTTTAAAAAACAATACCTGTATTTTGTGTGTAGAATCTACATCAACCTGCGTATCAAGCCATATGTATAGTCATGAGAGAAATGTTGATTCTAAGACAACAGGATCTACTCTGGTATCCGGACTAATTACGAGTTGGCAATCATACATAAAGTTTAGAACGATTCTGTATAATCTACTTACGCTAAATTAATATTAAAAAAAAAAATACGCAAATGCACTTAGCAATACTTCACTTAACTTAAAATAGTTTAAATAAACTTACTTGGCAAAAACATCGATCGAACTTCCAATTCTCAAACTGTAGGATAAATCACCATCTTCACTTTCACAAAAACCGTACGCGAAGAAAATGAATAAAACCAAAAGGTACATATTCTTTACGTATACTTATATTAAGTGATCTTACACCCATGAAAGCAGAGTGTACACTGAGATTTTTTAACATTTTGCTAATGTTGATGTGTGAACATCGTTTAAACTTGACCCGAGAGATTAGTGTATCGACTGACGAACTAGACTAGTTCAGGAAATCGGATTTGGTTGTTTCCTTTATTGGCTTGTTTTAATATAGAATATTTCTATAATTTTATTGTGAATGTTTGGAACATATCTTTAACTGTACACATTATACTCCACAAAAATTGTTATAAGTAGTAAAACAACATTCAGCGAAATACGAGTAGAATAAGTTGTCAGCACTCGCGGAAAATGTTCATTGTTATTCGACTAAATTTTTTTTATCTATTATTATCAGTGCGTTGAGGGAGTTAATTTAGCTAAACTAAAGAATAACGTGGACATTCCCTTCTACAAATTCCGGGACTTTTCTGAATTGATTGTATTTGAATATGGGTACTGTTTATTGAAATTTGAGTACATTGGCGACGAACAATTATTTTGTATTAGGTATTAGGTACAAATTATTGTCTCAAATCTAATATTGTGGTTGTGTTTCTATAGGTACCTACGTATTTAAATACTTTAGCCGTTTAAAAAATAAACATGAGACAACCTATATTTTGGACTGTTTAGAAAATAAACAGTAAATATAAAAAATCGACCTCAAACATTCGTGGAACTACATCTATTGCCAAGTTTTATTGAAATCGGCTACTGGACAGTGCGCGAAACCGGATTCATATCTGGATCATAGGTGGAATAATTTTTCTTCAAATTTAAATGGGACCAATACAGAAGTACCCTTTTTCCAACAAAAAACAATCATCAAAATAGGTTCACAAGTAATCACGTAACATACAAAAAAAAAATACAGTCGAAATGAGAACCATCTCCTTTTTTGAAGTCGGTTAAAAAAGAAATTGATCGATGATGAAATGAGCATGTCCATAATAAGATAACTTTCATACTTTAGGTAAATTCACTCCCGCAATTCCGATCACTGATTATTATACATAATTAAACAAGCAGTTGGAGTAGCGTCTGTCAGATACCGTCGCTACCGGTTCGTGCTTAAAAGAAACTTGCAATGAGTGATTGTCATTGCAAGTTTCTTTTAAGCAAATGTTAGGGTGTTTTAAATGTATGGTTTTATTTTCAGCTGAAACTACATGTTCGCGCAGTTGGTACGGCGTCTCTCTGCTAACCCAAGTTTCATTTGTAGTTTTGGAAATTCTCTAGAGTCGAAATTTAACTTGTTACATTCTTCGAAGCGCAGCGAGAGAAACTGTCTTGGTATACTCGAATTGCACAATGTACAAACAAATATATTCCTTTTTTTATAACATCTAGTGACGTGACGAACAAGTCGTGCGCCTGATAGTAAGGTATATACGCCTGTCCATAATAGTTGCAGTACCACTCAGAGCTTTAAATCGCAGAAATATCAGGGGCACTGCCACTGCATCCGCACCCTGATACATAACTTAACAAATCCTATGTGCCTGTAATTTCACCAGTACCCTTACCCTTCAAAATCGGAACACAGTAATGCTGACATTACTGCTTGGCGGCAGAAATAGGTAAGGTATTCGGTAGTCCCTCAACCGATACGCGTGAAAATTTAAACTAGCATAAAAACTACGATTCTACAGGTCGTGGCGAAGCACAAGTTTTTAATGACAATTGATGTCAAGTCTATGAGAAAAATATTCAATAAAATTTTGCGTGCGCAAATGTGCACTACTGTGCAAAAAAAGATTGCATTGCTTCAGTAGGGCATCAACACCCGCATAATATCAGTGCCGGTTTTACCAATGGTGCAACACCGTCGCTGAATCATAGGTGGCGCGCCGAGGTGCAAGTGAAGTAAACCGACTATTTCTTCCCAAAATCATTTATAATTGCACCATTTGCACCCAAATTTCCCGTAACTGGAAATAATAAATAAGTATGCCATTTGACCATGTGAATACTAGAGGACGCCAGGGTAATTGATTGCTCCCGGGCGCTACATAGGGTTGCCAGATGCTGACTTATCATTTCCGGATAAATTTTACAAGGGTGAGGGAGATGGGCCGTAGCAATAAATATATGAAAATAAATAGGTATTTAAATTAGGCTTTGATTAGGATTTTTCAAATTTCACGGTCATAACATGACCGAAACACTGTTTTTGACCATCTTTTGGGAGTTTTTAATAGTCTTTGAGTAGGTATCTACAAAAATTTTACATCATTTGCAATCAATATTTCGACAGTCCTTCGCACGACTATAGTGCTGCGTCTGGGGGATTTCTCTTATGAAAAGGACTCTAGTAAGTTTGTAAATACAACTTCTAAGTGTTTGGAATCCGGGACAGTAAAGTCTAATTACTGGACACGGGACAAGACGAAAAATTTCGGGACAATCCCGGATTTCTCGGCCACGTATTTTGTTGCCCAGTATTTTGGCTATAAGTACGTACATACATCCCTACGTTCGTTTTTACACTCGTCTTGCTGTTTTTTTTAATGAAAGATAACTATAAATAAGTCTAATCATATATTGCGCTTCATTGAATGGCGCACGTTTTTCGATAACCCGCTGAACTTAGCGGTTGTTAATCTTTATCGCGTTTTTGAGGCAAAGAGTAGTATTATATGTAGATATTTTATTTAGAATTATAATATTAATGCTGTAAATTCTTTGTTATATAAAATAGTCGACTGTAGCTTACAATAAGGTAGTGGATTCTAGGATGTCCTTCTCAATCAGGTACTAAGGTACACTCTGCCACATATTCAAGTACACAAACATTGACTTGAATTTTAACTTAAGCATAATATGTCCTAATGTTTCATTAAGTAACATTCTGTAAAGGTCAGTATCATATAATTAGTCCCATTGAAATTCTAGAACTTGGCTGTTAGTGAATGAAGTGGGGATATTTGATATACTTGCACTTAGGAGCTGTTTCTTAAGTTTGATGCAGGTGATTTCTGGCTTTAGTGAGTGCCTTCCTTGATGCGCAGATTTCGTGGCAGCGGTAACAGCCTCCTGGTGTTATTTGCATTCAGGGCCCAGGGCTCGTTTCATGAGCACTGGATTCGAATGCATATCAAAGAGAGAAAGAAGAGTAGGTCATTATTTTTAATGTTAACCTTATTTTTAAGCGTTCTGTTACCAACCCTTCTGGATGAATGTCCGAAATAAAAGATTTGAATTAAACTAATAATTGTTTCAATCCATTAATGCCCAAAGGCGCTTTGGTTAAAAACCCGGTTAAAAGCCGGGCGGGTTGATAGGGCTTGGCCTGTTTAGTATTGTAAATGATAGATGGAAGGGGTGAACATCCCAAGCTGGTGCCCTACCTATGATAGGCAACTTACATAAGTGATCAGCCTTTACTATAGGCTAGCCACACACTGCTCGGAAGCTACTACCTTACCAACAAGTAAACCACCGAGGAGGCTATGGCTTTAGTCTGCCAAAAACCTATCTAAAAGGACAGACCATGACCACATCCTAATCAAACAATTCAAAATATAATTACTCGTCAGCTATCCTAGCTATTTAGGTAACCTGTTTAAATCCTACCTCTTTATTTCAGCTACCCTAGCTTGGCTGAATGTTCCTAACAAATTCTTAAACATCACTACTAGAGCTTCCTAAATGCATCACTAAACTCTCTTCAACGTGCACGCTATTACGACGACGACACAGGCTTGAGCATCCATCGGACGATCACTGGGTAACATCAATATTGATCTCCCAGCTCCCTTAGTCCTCATCCTGCAGCTATCCACGTTCCATCAGCTTTTCTCACTTTCTTTAAACAAACCAGAACAAACACACATATAACCCTAACAACGACATTTCCTAACATACATATGATATGGGGGTATACCATATAAAGGATTCCTAATAATTAAATAAATATATTTTCCTCGAATGCAGACAGTTCTTGTTCATCTGGGAGGGTGACCACGAACTATGCACACACACAGGACAATATGTCTATCAAATTAAAAAATAATAATAAAAAGTAAGTTATATCTATCCAATCCAAGTCGGTAGTCCATCTTCTCCTCCCGTCCTTCTAAGTCTGCATTTCTGCAGAGAAGTTATCAAAACTTTTTGATACCGGTTTGAAAGAAGACTTTTCTTTCTTTGACCCAATATCTGTCCATGGACTTAGAAGGAATTTTGTTGTCAATTTTCAATTTTGACAACTTGAAATCACACCTCTTCAAAATATCCTGGCCTAAAATAAGATGTTCCTCAAGATCCTCTACAACGAGCAACCTTGATGGAAACTCCTTTCCACTAATCGTCAACGACACTTTGGTAGACGACTGCACATTTATTGGCGTTCCGCCCACTGTACGCAATGGATAACTACATTTGCATATTGGTGATACTCCAGTATCATCAATCTGCAAATGTAACCTTTCTGTAAAACAACGAGGGATTATTGAAACCGAAGCACTAGTATCCACCAACGCCTCGCAACTTACATCATTAATAAAAACAGATTTAAAAGGTGCCCAATGAACAATATTAAATATAAAAATATAAATTACGACCTTATGTACGCTTTCCTGGAGGTTTTCCGTAAAAACATATAAAATTTTTTCACGTCAGTTTTCTTCATTGAAATTTACTCCATCATGTGTAGGCTTGCTTCCACCATTTGTAGGCTTAGTTATATTATATATATAAATAGTTATATTATATATCTCTTCCATTCCCTCAGAGATTTCTCAAAAATAAAATTTTCACATCGGAATTCGCGTCTCCACCATTTGTAACCTGGGGACGTAGCTTAGGATGCGTAGCGAGAGGTACTTTATAAATATAAACTGGGATAATCTTCATAACTTGATATTTGTTGTACTTTTTTACATGTTCACTTTTTGATGGCTACTTTTTGATCTCTCAAGATGTTCTTTTCTTATCCTATTTTTTTAAACACATTCTAAATACAAAGTATATTCACTCAGCCAGTAGTTCTACTCATAGAGTAGAGCCTAGACTACGTACCTAAGTACAGTTTCTTCTTTTAGATAAAAATAAGAGCGCGTTTGACCTCCATAGAAAGTGATGATGAGGTCGACGATGTAGCATGCTATTATACTACACCTAAATAATGCCTATTGACTCTCGCCTTGAAAAGGTCCAAGTTATAACGTACGGGGAAAAAGTCCGCAGATAGGGAATTCCACTGTCTAGCCGCTCGCCATATAAACGTGGAAGCAAAATGCTTCGTGCGAATTCTGGGAATATCCACAACATAGAGGAAGCATCCCAACCTACGTACGTGCGTAGTCCCCCGACGATGGAAAGGGGAATGTGATAAGCGCTAGATATAATAGAAGATAGAGAGCGATAGATTACCGATAAGCAGGCAACTTTACGGCGGTTCTCTTTCCATCATCGAAGGACTAGGCGTAGGCGTGGCTTCCACCCCCATGTTGTGGATATTCCAAAGATTCGCACGAAGCGTTACGCTTCCACATTTATATGGCGAACGGCTATGGAGTGGAATTCCCTGCCTGCAGACTTGTTCCCTGAACGTTATAACTTGGACCTTTTCAAGGCAAGACTGAATAGGCATTATTTAGGTGTGCATGCTCCATCGTCGACCTCATCGTCACTTTTCGTCAGGTAAGATGGAGGTCAAATGCACATTTATGTCAGCTTTTTTGCATTTCGTATTTTAAATTTTAATAAAGTAGGATTGGAATTAGGAATTCACAATCAAATTACAATGTACTTAAACTAGTGTTAGAATTTAGCCAGCTAACGTAAAAACAAATGTATAGCTAAGAATTGCCAGTAGTGTGCAAACATATCCACAGCCCCAGCATTGGGAACTCTCAGCTATTTGTCAATGTGCCCAGGATGACGCGTTCGCGCGTGCGATTTAGCAGCGGCGCGCTTTGCTTTCTGATAATAGCGCAGAAATCGTCGACACCAAGGGCAGATTTGCAGTCCTGGCCGCCTTAGGCCCCAGGCCACGTAGTCAGTACCAGCCGCCCCTTCGTATACTGTTAGACTACATAATGAATTTACTTTATTGCCAACTTTTATCGAAATCGGAAATTTACAATTTAATATTTTTAATAATTTTCTACAACATTGATTTGATATTATATCTGTTAGTTACTCGTGTGCGCCCCGTAGTAGCGCCCAGCCGGCATGATTTTTTTCCGACACCTACAACATTTCGTCATATTTCAGCCAACTTACACAAAACCTAAATAAATTATACACTCAAACCTTCTCATGAATGGCTCTATCTATTGGTGGAACCCGCCTGAAAATCTGTTCAGTTATTTTTGAGTTTATCGCAACCAAACAGACAGACAGACGCGGTTGTGATAATATGTAGTGTTGTAGTGATTACATTATTGATATGTAACATATCTATATTTTATACATAAAATGTACGAAAGTTATTTAGGAAGATTATTGTCATACGATGAGGTGCAGTGCGGCCCGCCATAATGTGCGTAAGCTTTTTGAAATATTTACGTACTTTGAGTTTTTTCTTGTTATCATTAGTGAATTTTTTGTCACGATTGGCCGCCCTAGGCCCGGGCCTACTGGGCCTCAGGGCAAATCCGTCACTGGTCGATATGTTTATCATCAAACATGATTGAGGAGCTACAAAAAGATTGAAGTCGGAACAGCATCGTGAAGTCATTGTTGACCCATTGAATACACGTGTAAAGCGTTACTTTCACTTGATCTGTAAATCGATCGTGTGTTTGCTCGCAGGTTTCTACGAACCAGCGTATTGCAACCGACAAATTATGCCCTGCGCTCCTCTCTACAGTACGTACAGCAAGGTATGTCTCAGCGTGACAGGTGCAATGGCAATATCTCGCAGATCTTTGCGATTTAAAGCTCTGAGTGGCACTGTAACTTCTGTGAACACGCGTGTCGCTTAATACCAGGCGCATGGCTTGTTCGTCCTGTCACTTGTCATCGTAAAAAAATTCACTCTTCAGTGCATTATATGAGCAATGAGCCTCCGCATAGTACTTACAGACATACAGCAAACCGCGCAGAACACCGACTGTCGGACACAAATGCTCCATGTCATCAGCATGACATACCTACTTATACACAAACACCAACGTGACAACCAATATTGGTGTTGTTGAGCTCTTTCATTAGTTCATGTACAGGTTGAAGAGTCGAGGCGAACTCAACCTTCCCTGCCACACTCCGCACACCAACCGCCGCCGTTAGTTTCAACCGCTTATTCCCAGTTGTCGCCACTGGCTTGTTCCCACTAGCGACAACTGGGATTTTTTAATCCCGCGACTAGCGCGAGAGTGACATAAAGCGCGAGATACTGCTATTCTCGCATAGAGATCTGGTAACATATGGGATTTTTTTCCCATTTGTCGCCACTGGAAATCACCACTGGTAACAACTGACAATTTTTTATCCCGTTTGTCACCACCAGGTAACATATGGGATATTTTTTTCCCATTTATCGCCAGTGGGAACAAAGCCAGCAACTGGGAATATGCGGTTGAAAGGGCGAATGTGATAAAAATTCAAAACCGACAAAATGTTAAATGAAATCTACTTTTCTCTTGTGGTAACTTCAATTAACTTATCCACGTAGGAAAAAATATAAATAGTGACAGATATGAGTTTTCTTATTGATCACGGCAGTGTACACAACAATTTTGTTGTTATATACAACAGATTTAGTAGCAGTGGTAGCAGTACAATTCTTTGTGATAAAGTTCGTCCAGGGAAGCACTGTCACCTTACCTATTTCTGCCACCAGGCAGTAATGTGAGCATTAGTGCTTTCCGGTTTTGAATGGTAAGGGTGCCTGTGAAATTACAGGCACATGGGGCTCGTCAACTTATGTCTCAGGGTGACGGGCGCGGTGGCAGTGCCCCTCCGATCTTTGCGGTTTAAACCTCTGAGTGACACTGCAACTTTGATGAACAGCTGAGTGAGTAACCGCTTACCACCAGTCTCACGACTTGTTCGTTCTGTCCCTTTGTATTATTAAAAAACTAACGGCGGCAGAACCTATGAAGTCATGTACTTAGTAATTAAAATATCTTTAGTAAGTTCAATGACTCCATATCTGCCATATTTAACTTCGCCAGATAATAAGTTAGTCTACGATTCAGACAATGACCTACATTTTGTGATAACTAATTTAATGTGACGTACATTTTTTAAATAAGCATAAAATGAATATTGACCTTTTTAATTTTAATAAGTACCTACTCATATCTCAGAGTGAACAGTAAAAAAATCGTTGACTTCAAAACGGCATAATGACTACGTAAGTCTAGTTTTACGACCAAAACTGACTAAATCACGATTTTTTTAGTGCAATCAAATCTAACCTAGGTACTGTGGTGGTGAGATTAAATATGGTGCAGCTAGAACAAGGTTATGTTAGAGTTATCAGTAAAATACCCTTGTAACTTTTGAACGATGGAACGACTAAATCTAATTTTTTGCTACTCGAACCGACTAAATGGTATAATGGTATAATTTTTTTTATTGACTTGTAAAATTTCAAGAACTCGACCTTGGCAGCTAGGGATGTTGCTCATAACTGTTATTTTTTTGTTCCGTTACTCGATTAATCGGATATTATTGAGTCCGATAAAGCAATATTTTTTACAAATTGTCTGTCAAACTTTTGTTTAAACCACTATTGCCACTAATTTATCAATCAATAATAAAATAATTAACAATCAATATTTAGTAGATATAATATTAATGATATAGTCAAAAGCACATCAAGCTTGATACTTTGTACTTTGGACTGTTCTTATCGTAAGCGGCATAGAGTTGCATTTAAGTCTTAAGTGTCAAGCTTGACGTGCTCTTGATTGTACAAGAAATAAAAATAAACGGTCTGTTCTTGACAATCGTCTTCACAAAGTTACAAATTCATTTACGAGGCAATGTAGGCGCTTCTATAATAAGATTCCGATTAATATAAATTCACGAGGTTTAAACCTTTAGTGAAACAAAAACTTTATACTAAAGGTTTATTATATAGCTTAGTGCGTACATGGATGACAAAAATCCGTGGTACTGACCCGTTGCTTGCTGATTGTTTCGATCGATTTTAAAATAAATATTGTAATGATAAATGTGTGCAAATGTTTATTTACAAAGAACAACCTCTAGAATTTCTTGCTCATTTTTCTTAAGGGCATTTGCCTTACGAATGAGCAGTCGACTTTAATCAATATGACGATAAAGTAACTTCCTTACCTGTGAAATAAAGATTATTTGACTTTGGTACAGCTTTATGAATAAATCTAGTAGACAGGCGCAATATGTTAGTTTTTCTGCCATCGCTCATTCGTTTACAGAGACGGTAACAAGAAATCAATGTTGCCAGATGGTTATATTTTTCGTTACTTTTGACATTCTCACGAAGTATTTTCGTTTTAAGGCAATTTTCGTAACTTCTGAGAAAGATGAGATTTCTTGGCAGAGCTTTGTCTTACGCTGCTGAAGTATAACGTAATTTTTATGTTAACACGTGTATACGGTAATGCCAGGTCAACTAACTAGGGTAGATGAATAGTGAAAATAAAATCCACTATCAGTCATAAACAGATTTTTTTTCATTTCTAAAATACATTTTTTTTTTCAAAATATTTACAATGTTCAAATTAATTAAACATCATTATACTTAATACAAAAATATCGTTAAATGCATTTTCAAGTTTGATCTCGCACTGTGTTGTACGTAAAAAATATATTGCACAAAATAAGTAAAAATATATAGATACAAATGTTGCTAACTTTCTATAAGAGATGGCCCTTCAAACAGTCGTACGTGTGTACATTATCATTATCCATAACTTTTAAAGTACTACAATAAAAATTCACAATAGTAATTCCTGTGTATAAATTGCCCATGAAATGTTTTCAAAAACTGAAAAATACAGTAGGTACTTATACATTTTTATTTCAATAAATAAAATCTACAAAAATTTGAAATTTTATTTACAAAACATTTCTTGGAAGATTTAAGGCACTTATTTTCAAATATTTACATATTTTTTAAATCACAATTATAAGTAGATTGTTTTCACTGATTTCACTTTTAATAATTACAGTTTGTTCTATTCTAAATATTAGATGTTAAAGTGTGAAACTACCGCTCTAAACATCTCGCCACTTTAAAATTCTTGATTTGTAAGATTCTCAGAAACTTTTTAAAAACAAATGTTAAACCTTCTAAATTTAAAATGTTGGTATTTGTTTTACGAAAATTGGAATTGGAATTCACATAACTCGAAAGGTTAACGAAGTTCGGATAGAACCACAAATTAGAAAGATACCTATAGTAGAGGATATAACTGACGGATGCACTACATTTTTAATTTACCCGATTCCGCGTTGATAATTATAACCTGGCGAATGGGCTCTTAGACTTCAAGAGGCTAAGTGAATAATTAAATTTGTGAGTTCATGTTGAAATCGATCCATCGCGAACTTCTAAAGAATTAGCAAGTATGGTTTAATTTTAATATTATTAAATGTATGGTACGTTGAACGTTCAAATTTTGAGTATTTCTAGTTTTTTTTAACAAGTTATTGATGTCGTTTTACTCATTACACAACGTACTTGCGATGTCAGTTTAAAAGTTTTTGATATCTCTTATATTTACGGGATAATCGCCTGGGCACACTTAACGATTGCACCCTGTATGTAGCTGCAGTTTCATACTATAATCATTTTATTTCATGCTACCCATTTGTAATAATTATTTTTAAAATTGAATAATTTAAACGCCTTTTGGAAATCGGCTGTTGCAATATTTTGTACTTAAACTCTGAATTAATAAAGCATTTCAGTTTAGGAAGACATAAATGCATTATCAAAAATTTGTATATAAAAGTAGTAATATTATAAAAATACGATTCTGTGTCATTTAATTGACTAATATTGTTGTCGTTGTTGATTTCAAAATTGATAGCACCATTACTAGTAACTAATTTCAAATACAAAGTTTGAATATAGTGGAAAATAATTTATATCCTATTATTTTGACAAAGGTTGCCAGCTGTTAATGCCAGTAGAGTTCGGTAACAAAGTAAATTGATTAAACGTATTATAATCGGTATGTTAAATGCGTAAGGTACAAAAATAATTTTTTTACAAGCAATTTAAAGTTCGTAAACAAATTATGTAACAAGGTGGAATAATACTCTTGTGCCTTATTGTACGCATAAATTAAAAAGAAATCTTGTTCTTCAACTTTTGAAATTCACATTATTATTGATTTTGATCACTTGTTCGAATTGTACAGGAACACATTAAAAAAATATTTAAACATTGTTTGTATTTATGCATACAATGAGCACCTATCTTGCACCTTTCTTTTGCACTTCATATCTCAATGTTGTGGCCTTCCGTATTTAAAATACTATGGTCTATTTCAATTCATTTTAAGCGAAATATAAACAAAACGGTATGGTTGAATTTCTAAAGGAATCACTCAATAAATTGAATAAGTAACACTTTCACGTATATTTCGAAGATTTTGACTTGATATCTCATCACTTTTTCCAACAATATTCATTTGAATAAAATCGTAAAATCGTGTTTGAGAAATGGGAGTCAAAAAGTGAGATTATTTTTAATTAAAGATGTGTGAATAGTCCTTGGTTGTATAGTGCTGTACGGAATAAAACATTGAGTTCATTCAATTCAAGTTTTTGTAATCGATTAGTAAATCGAAAATTTCAATTGGACGTGTACGGATTTGAAAGGGGATTTAAAATTAAGATTTCGGAAAGTTTAAATATATTTTTATAGGTTATGTAATGAAAACAGCTAGTATGCCCCAATTAAACAACTCGATTCATTCAATTAATTAATTGATTTGTAGTTGGCAATAATATTGGCCATCACTAAACCGGTCTATGGTCGGATCAGTGACTTGTTTGTTTACTTTTTGTTTAAAATGGATTGAAACGAAGTATAACTCTTATATTATGTCACTTCCATCGACTTGAAAAAGGCGTCAAAGGATGAATTCTCATATAGGCTGTTTTGCATTACATGCAAATGACTAAATAAAACTAATAACTGGCTAAAGAGTTGGATTTTGACGCCATTGTATAGAACTAATTCCATAGTATAACAAGACAAGTACTGTAACTCCATAGAAAGCAGCATAGTAGCAGCGTGGCTTGTATTTGTCCATGCCTGCCCCGCTTCGTGTACAGATACACACGTTCGCACAATCTCGCGGTGCATTCGCGTTGCCCCTTCTGCTAATTTTCTTAATGCCACTAGTCATTGTAATTAAATTAAGACTCCATTGAGATTATATTGCAGTTATAGTATTTGCTATTCTGCTAAAATGTAGTTGCAATGGTAGGTGAGCATCGAGTACACAACCAGAAATAGAGACGAAATGTTATTTTATTTGTTTGAAAACTATTTTGGCACGTCGTTACGGTTACAACTGCGCTCCGATTGGCCAGCCCGAATTCGAAACAATTGACGGGTGTCGTCAATTGTTTCACTTCAACTCGACCAGTTTAACTTGAGCTTTGCTATAATGAACCAAAATTGAAAAATTACATAATTTAATATTTAATTACCGATGAAATGTGATTCCCTTTATTTTGTAATTGGATATTTGTAGCTCCCACACCACCGAAAAGAACAGCCCCCCCAAAAAAAGCCTACCTTAGTCAATTGCTCTTATGTGAAACGATAATAAAAAAACTGTTTCATTGATAATTGACATGAATATACAAGCCATTTGGCACATTATTTTCAATCAACGCATTATTGAATATCGTCAGAAAGATCTTGTGAAATTACCCCGTGTGCAGCGCGACATAAATGTCAGGAACTGACTCAGTTAAGCGGTAGGCCTGTTAAATAATAATGTGACAACCCTACTTTACGACATTTAAGCAGTGAAGCGCCGAACAGGCGGGTACTTGCCTTATTACACTATGCTAATTCGTGTCGTGCTGACTACAGAAAATGTCTAAAGCAGGGTTTCTTAACCTTTTTCTTGTCATGGATCCCTCTCAAAAATTCAAAGAATCCACGGACCCTTTCCGAAAAGATGAAGACGACCTTCTTGCAGTGCACGGATAAACCTATGCAGGTTTTTGTTTTGCCGCCAGGTTTAGATTAATAAATATTCTTTTTATATATTTTTTTAATAATAAATAGAATAAGAAAGGCTCGCGGGTTGCATTCAGGATGCTCGCTAATTTCTACAAGGTATAGCCGTCAAAGGGCGCGAAAATTCAAAAAGGTCACTGCACCTATTTGCTCACAACATATTGTATACCATTTTTTATATTGATGTTATAAAAAAAATATTAATGTAACATGTTAGGTAGGCTCGTCATGAACCTCTGGCGTTCAACACACGGACCCCTTAAGGGCCTATGGACCACAGGTTAAGAAACTCTGGTTTAAAGTGAGTACATATCTGAAAGGTTCAAAAGAAACTTATAAAACTACCAATCTATCTATGACGTAAGGGCGTCTTCAAAGTAGACAAAAAAAGCGCTGCACTAGCGCGACTGTGGTGCGGCAGCTACGCGTCTGTACAGCTTCAGTAATTTTTAGTTCACTAACGTCTAATTTGAAGACGCTCCAAGTGGTGTCGTTACTAGGTATGCAGATGTTACTAGTAACCATAGCAAGTGATACTAACCATTTTTGCCGTATCACCAGTAACTTGGCGCTACATCAGCCTTGATAATAAAAATTAACTACAATCACATATTACTCTCCCACAATTTCAAATAATTGTCTATGACTTCTTCAAACCACTTCTTTTTCTTCACATCTTTGAAGGCAGGCGATAATGTTTTTAATTCTAATTGTAATAAGGCTTCGTTTCCTAGTAACGTGTCTAAACTTCTTAATAGAGAAGGTTCCCCGTGTAGTTTTAGAAGGCTGGGATACGAGAAGATATAGTAATGAACTCTGAGGCGTTTCGTTGCCCAGTTTTCTACTGTCTTGTTGCCACTGGCCACCTGCGAAAAAATGGAATATACTTTAACTTTTTTTCAAAGAAGAACGGAACCTGAATAGTATGATGAATTACATCCATTTGCAAAGTTTTATTAAAAGCGGTTAACGAAAGTGGGCGAAATTCAATAAACCAGATTCATCCTCTAATTGGCCACCCTGAGAGGTGGAATATTTTCTTCAAATTCGAATGGGACCACTACTGGAGTTCCTCCTTTCCAACAAAATAAGAACCATCAATCATCATTTTTGAAATAGATAGTTGTTAGATGTCTTTTTGTTAGCAAGAAGTAAATTTTCTAAACTATTTTAATTAACCCATGTAGTTATAATAAATTCAATGTTTTGATAGCAGAAATTACAAAAAAAAAACATATTATAAAATAAAGATTAGTGAATGAGTGAACGACATGTGGAAACAAAAATGATATGAACCTAAAAAATGAGACTGAATATGAGGTAAAAGCCAATAACAGTCAAAATAAGAATCATTGGATACATCGAGTATATAACCAAAAATAGAGACGAAATAAGGACTATCCATACCTGGCGACTCATTAGTAAAATGGGCCTTATATCACTTTTAAATATCAACTCTCGTTTGCACTGCCAAATTAGAAAGCTGAAATAGTACAGCGCAAACAACTGACCTGTGTTTCTGTCTCCGTATATTCCAAAAATATTTTGTATTTATCGTAATAAAAATAACATCTCTAACTATAGGGGCTGTTCCATTCGGTGGTGTGACGACACCCGTCAATTGTTTCGAATTCGGGCTGGCCAGTTGGAGCGCAGTTGTCACCATAATGATTTGGCAGAATAGCTTTCAAACAAATTAAGTGACATTTCGTCTCTATTTCTGGTTATATACTCGATGGTTGGATAGTAAAGGGGGCCCAGAGTGAAAATGACCTTCTCGAGTCTTTAATAATATCTATAGATTTTGTGAATTTTAACCTAATGACAATAACTTGAAAGTGTATTTTTGTAAACGGAAAAGGATTAATCAAAACAAATATTGGCCTTTATCAAACTAGCACACATTTCTGAAATCTTGAAATGCTAATCGTATTGACGCATATTGTGTCTACTTTTGTATATTACACAATTTACCTTTTATCGAGAGTAATTATGGAAGCGTCATAGCATAGCATAGTAATTCGATTCTTCACTACTAAAAAACTACAAGTTTACCTTGATCTGTCCTATATGTTTAGCATGCCACGGCGAAAAGTATCCTTCCAACTCCTTAGCAGTAATATCAGCAACGCCTTTGCTCTTTAGCCGCTCTTTAATCATAGAATATGCGGTTCTAGAGAACACAAACACCTGGAGTGAGAGCATAGACAATATTGACAACTTTATAGAACATTCACTGTTAAGTTGGCATTAGCTCCGCGGCGTGTACTCCAGGATTTACGTCAAAGTTGGATTTTAAAAACTTCTTTTCTATTGTTTATTTTTCTATCAATAACTTTACATTGTTGTTTTATTTACTTCTCTCATCATTTAAATTAATCTACCAGCAAACCTTTTTCTATACTTTGGTTATGTACACATATTTTTGGTTAATATGCTTATATTAAGTCTTAGTTTCCCAAAGTGGTCTCTACCGCCCCTCAGTAGGCGCTAAAGAGTCCTAAGGGGGCCTCGGTTAGGAGCCTCGGAAGCAGTGGGGGGTGTTGATGTTACCCCATTTTAAAAGAAACTTGATTTGTTGAATTAATGTGGTGGTGGGTGGGGCGTTGAAAGTTTTTTATCTTGCCCAAGTGGGCGGCAAGCCATAAAGTTTGGGAACCTATGTTATATGTATTCATCTTTTTAGAAAACTTCTTTATTATAATTTTGTTAAGAAAAGTAAAAGGTAGAAGAAATGGCTTGCCGCAAAAATGGCAGCTTTTTCTAGTTTCTTCTGTATAAAAGTCTAACAAGTGCAGTATTTCATACATTCACTACATGTCTATAATTTTCCTACTTATTTACGATTAAAATTTAAGTTGTACGTTATAATTTTGGTGTTACCAAGATAGGACTTTCGTGCCACCATATTCGATAAAAGCGGCTCACGATGAAAACCAGCATAAAGCAGTCGAACTGTGACATACGCTGTACGGGATCCATTTCAGCTTAAATTTTAATCATTTATTTCTTTTGGTATAAGTCTTAATAAGCTGAATAAATGTTTCTTTCTTTCTATATCGCCGTTTAAACACACAATGTAATATCTTCATTCGACTATTTGCTTTTATTGTTTATGTAATTATTAAACATACAAATTCCATTATTTGATAATTTCCATAACAAGAAGTTACAAAAGTTTTGGATGTTCCAAAAAAGTGTTCCAAAAGTCAAATGCACTGATGGATGATAAAAATGATATTAAATGAGAGAGAAACAAAGCATATGTTACGATTATGATTTTATAATGAATTGAAGTCGAATAATACATGAACCAAAAAAGTTTACCTTTATAGATGTATCAGTGTACGCAAAGTTAAACATAAATGGCATGCAAATAAGATAAAATTTACAATGTGCAGTGGTACAAAAGTTATTGATACTGGGAAGTGAAAATAAACATATTATAAATTATATCGTATCTCCGAGCCTTTTGTGTTCAATTTCGCACGCATTGAAATGTTTATAACTGTTACCCCTTTCGATTCCCGGTAGAGGGGTACTCTAACAGTGAATGTGTACACAATAATACTTGGAAGCAAAAACTCCCAAATATCTGCGATTCTTTCGTTTGGTGCTGAATATTTTTTGGTATAAACCTATGGTGCTAATTAGGATGGTTATTTACTCCCAAATGAACATGTCAAACCACACATAATGTTCAAACACGCATTCAACATGGATTCTTGTCACTTTTGAACCAGAGGTTAACCGCATACGACAAAGACAGCACGGTCACTTTGAAATACTAGTTTCTGCTCAATGTTGCGTTTTAAGCAACTATTTGTACTGACTATAAGCAGAGATCGGAGCATCCAATGTATCTAACCTTCAAATTATATTACACATAGAATTAATAATACCTCCTGAACGAAGAAAAACTTTCATAAGTTTCTCACAGATGGCGCTACGGCAAAAAAGACTTAAATCCAATACAAAGAACTTCAATAAGTACTTAGAGAAATTCGTCTGGTCGACTTAGAGAAAAGGTCTGCTGACTCAGTTGGTAAGAGCGGTAGCCCCGGTTTGGCAAACCGGGATTTTTTCTTTGTGTTTGTTCGATCTTTGCATCAATAATAATAATAAGCAGAACAAGTGCGAAAGGCGGTCCTGCTCGATATGCCTGTGCCATTACTGGGGAATACCGTCTCTACAATTCAGAATTTCAAAATTAATCTTTTAAGCCTTGTGAGAGGCGAGAGTAACGCACACACTCAACACAATAACGCACACACTCAACATATATAAAATATAAAATAAATATCCATAATAATAATACCTCCTTCTGAAATCTCAGAATGGCTAATAATAAAAATCAAAACAAATAAAATACTTTTAGTAAGAATTACAAAATTTTTCTTCTACATGCATTACTGTAGTAAGTGCCTGTTACAACTCAAAAATATCGAAACTAAATACAAGACTGTAATTTTGGGGAATTAAGAGGAATAATCACTACTTTCTTGTGTGCCTTGCCACCAAGCTGTCTTTTGCAGTACGGGGTTAACCAATTTTGTAAAAGGACCCATAAATTTTGCAAAAATGAAAAAAGTTTAATACCGAGTATTGAATGATAAAGAATTAGAACGATAAGAAAAGAAGTTTTTAGATGATGTTTATGCAACGCAACATCGCAAGGTGATGAAGTGATGATGTACCAAGCATTTTGGTCTGATTTCATGTAAATTAAAAAGCAAATGAAATAAGATAAATGAGTAGAATTTTTACATGATGTCTAGGTACTTAAACGGATACCTAGATAGACCGAATCTTAGTGGATATAGCGGTAAAGACTGACAAGTTAAATGTTAAACCTCGTCAAAGACAAAAAAAGAAAAGGTTCTTCTAAAAATTCTAACGTTCCAGTCTAATGAGAAGTAATCTATGGAGAATAGCACTAGACAATAGTGACTTATGATGTCACTTTTCGTGGTTTCGATAAAAATTTTTTTTAATATATTAAATAAAAACGAAAATATAAATAAAAATACTTAGTTGAACTCGAAATCTTTTAAATTTTAATCGTAATATTGTCGTAAAATTGTTCCCGAAACTTTGTATTTTTTTTTCTGTATCGCACATGCAACCAAATACTGTCATAACTAACGTGACCATTATTTTCCCCTTATAGTGTGAGCGGGGAAGAAATAATGCCTGTAAATTTATTATTGTTTTAAAAATAAAACACAGTAACATAGAAACTTTAGTTACTGATAGTTACGAAATGTTTAACTATTAAAAAAAAATAAAACTAAAACTACTACCCTGTACCACGGTGAGTGCTCTGAAGAGTTATTCAACCTTATCCCTT